TCCCAGGCTGTTCACCTCCTATCACAGGACTCCAGGGGTACTGGGAATCCGGGAGACAGCCATCTGTCCAAAGAGAGTCAGAGGTCTTCTGTGCCAGTGCCACACCCAGGAGAGCCTGGGCCACATTGGTGCCATGGCGATGCCACAGCGGCCAGCCTCTCCCAGCCCTGTAACCATGGGAATGTGCACAGAGCTGCGGACTGCTTATGCAATGCTTCTCAGGAAGGGAGACTCACTGGCCCCAACCTGCTCCTAGGGACACACACAGGGAAGCTGAAGCCCCAGCAGCGCCTGTGAACATGGATGATGGCAACCCACATATTAACCCCCGTGAAGGGATCTTGGTGGGTTACAATGCCCCTGAGGGAAACGGAGGGCAGAAAACAGAAGGTGTGGGGGTGGGGTATACAGAGAGACTCCAGGAGAGAATTTTAACAGATAGAGGTGGCTAGCCATCTGTATGCAAGTGGAAAGCTCCAGCCACCTCTGGCTGCCCTGTGACCCAGCTGTTTGGTATCATAGAGACAAGACAGCTGCCTGACAGAGTGTTCCACTGCCCACAGCTGGAATCTGGGGCCTTTTGAGGAGAAAGACATGGGACAAGAGAGCTTGAGAGTTATCCAGAAGAGCAGTGTCCCTGGGAAGAGGCTACGCCTATGAACGAGCCAAATTGTCAGGGTCTAATGCCTGGTTCAACACAAAGGCAGTCCTATTCCTAAGGTTTCTAGGTCTTGGGTCTCTCCTGAAGCTGGATTGCAAATGGATGGGCATAGATGAAGGTCCAGGAGTAGGAGGCTAGAACCTTGTCTGATCATGGTCCCTCATGCCTGCCCAACACCACTCTTTGCCGTCCCTAAGCCCCTCAAGTTTCCCTGAAGCACAGGAGTTTCTGCCTTCAAGTCCTCCTTGCCCTGCAGTCCCAGCCCTCATTTCTGGGTGACTGCAGTGCCCAAGCCAATGCTCCATCACTGCCTCATCTTACAGTCCCATCCTTCTCTCTCAGGATCCCCTGACACCCTGGAGTCACCCTGCCCCCCTGCAGTGGATCTCCCTGCTCACCCTACACCCTCCTCTTTTCCTGGATCCCTCTCAGCAGCTCCTGCTCCATGGCCATTCCATCAGGACCCTCTGCCTTAGATCTCAATGACCACCATACAAGTACTCCTTCACAAAGATGAAATCTCTGCAGCCTGTCTTTAGGCCAAGTTCCTCCAGGCAAGTCACATTACTCCACATTTACATCCCTGGGAGTCCTCAGCACTGCCTGGTGACAGCCCTGTATGTCTTGTCCGTTTGTTCTATCACCTGCTGCCAGTAGCATTTCTAGTCCTCTTCACACTCCGGAACTTACCACACTCTCCTCCCTAACCCTGGAGAGCCAGAAACCTTGTCTCAGAGGTAAATATGGAAACCAATGGTTGTTTCCCTTCCACTGCCTACCATGAGGCCCCACCCCCGATACATCAGCCACCACCCACTGGACAGAGAATTTCTGCCTCAGTCCAGATCCTGAGCAACCTCTCCTTACTGTTCACACGCCTGTGTTCAGGGACTGTGGCCTGCAGCTTAGCAGCATTTATCTAGCTGTCCTCTCAAAACCAAACAAGGCCACTCACCACTTGGATCTCATTTCCATTCCAGACAAGCCTCAGGCAGGGACTGTCCCATGTTTCAGCCCCACTGTTCCATAGCCCATTCATTTCTCACCACCTTTCCATCTGGTTCCCATATCTGTCCACTGCCAAATATGCTCTTGCTGCTAGCTGTGGTGCCAAACCCAGTTGCCGTGTCTGCAGCCTTTTCTTAAAAGGCTGTTTAGCTGCACACAGACATTTGCCAGCTCCTCCTTGTCACGCTATGAGTTTGGCCCTCAAGATCCCAGTCATCTGGTTTCCTCCCACCTCTCTAGCTGCTCTTTCTCAGCCTCATGGGGGCCCTCACTCCTCAGTTAAATTTGGGAATATTTGAATCTTCTTAGGCTAAGATTGAGCTCTTTCAGGCATTGCTTCTCACCTGGGTGGTCTCACCTGTGCTTCTGTGTTGTAGTCAGGGGTTTGCAGCGAAAACAATTACCTACATGATACATAATTTATATTATTTTGTAACAGTCATCCAAGGGTTAAATACCCGAAGTACAGGGAACCTGTCCACACACTAAAGACCTAGAAAATCCACTCAGGGGCCTGGATCCCATGGCAATATTCTGCATGAGTTCAACTGAAGACTTAGAGCCCAAGATGTTGCCCCCTGTGAGTCCAGCTGGAGGCCTAGAGCCCATGACAATGACTCATGCAAGTCTATTTCCCGGATCTGCACTGGGAAGGCCCCAAGGTGGTGAAAGCTACAAAGTGTGCCACCAGGATGAAGTATCTGTGCCAGCAGACTGAGAATTCTGCACTAAAGCAAAGAAACAACACTCAAAATAAGGACCAGGGCTCCCCCAAAATTGTACAACAGCATCCTTAGCAATAAGGAGGTCCAGAGCCTCCAATGATGAGAATGGCCGAGTTCATATCAGAAAGCCAGTGTGACAAGCTTCTCCTGCAGACTGAGAAGCTCATATCTTTCCTTCTAGAGACAGGAAGTGATGCTCAAAGTAAGGACCAAAGCTCCCCAAAGTGAACTACAGCCATTCTCAAGACAAGGTCTCGAGCTCCTCTGATGATAACAGCTGAGTTCATGTCAAGGAAGCCGACATGACAAGCTCCTCCAGAAGAACCAACAACTTCCAAAGAACCAACAGCTCCAAACAACAAAGACATTTAGGAGAAGCCACAATGCTACTGTCCTCTTTTCCACTTCTCCTTTTTATGCTGGTGACAGTCCTCAGGTGGACCCTCTACATTCAGCACCATGCTGATTCAGTTCAACTGACATTAAAGTTGACCACCAGTTTTTAATTCACCAAACCCTGGTACTGGACACCATCAATATTCCAATAACCCATACGTCCACTTCCAAGTCAAATCTCTTAGCTCCAGTTGCTCGTTGGCATCCCCTTAGGTTTCTCACACTGGACAGTTCTTTTGTCTCCCATTGAATGTCTCCCCTGTGTCCAGTGTGTTACCTCACCTGCATCCTGCTGGACATCTCACCTGGGTACCTTTCATGAATCCCAGACTGAACGCATTTAGACCAACTGGTACTCTGGACTTTGAATCTGGCTCCTTTACCACCTTTACTCATTCCAGAGCACTTCCTAGAAATTTTTATCCCCTCCATTAACTCAGCATTGCTGTTGGAGCCTTTAATCTGTTCTTATCTTTTCAACCACTATGATCCTAGTACTCGCCTATTTTCGCTCTCTTGGCTTCCAGCTGGTGTCTCCACCTATAATTCAGTCTTCACATACCATCCAGAGGGATTATTTGAAAACACTGTTAGTCCATTATATCGCACACTTCCAATAACTCTTGGAATCAAACTAGTTTAGTATTTCTTTCCTGGCCCTGTATGACCCAGGTGTGGCCTTGCCCTTCCATGGTCACAGATAACCATTTCCTTTTCTCATAGATCCAGCTGATATTTATTGCCAGTTCCACCAGATACCAAGTTCCTTCCTTTGAATGTGTCCTTTCCTCTACCCAGGCTTCACCTGGCCAATTCATACTCATGGCTCTAATCGCAGGTCAGATTTCCCCTCTTCCAGGAAGATTTGTCGCTTCTCTTTTAGCACTCCCAGACTAAGTCTGACCCTTCAGATATTTGTCCTCTCAATACTCAACTTCTCTTCTGTGTGCTTAAAGCCATTATAATGCACCTTTTGGAGTGCTCCGTCCACTCTCTGAATAGTTCTAACTGCCTCCTTCTTGTAGCAGATGTATTAAACCTCCGCCATGTTTGTGGCTGGTCAGCATATTCTAAATGTCTTCCCTATGTTTGAGGAGCTTGCCACACAATTCTGACCTTGCCTAGAGTGGAGGCCCAGAACTTGCAGTCCTAGCCTGTCCTGCAGGCAATAGGAAAGGTCACCACTAAGGCTTTGCTCATTGATGACAGCTCTGTGGGACCTGGGTTAGAAAACAACCGCAAGAAGAAAAGAAGCTGTGGCCATGTGGATTTGAGATTTTGGCAATGGTGGCAGGGGAGGACTTCACGACAACCATGTGGCGCTTCTGGCTTCCTGTCCACACTCTTACTGGTTTGAGTAGCTGTGTCTGTGACCAAAAGTGAAACTAGAGCCTTGGCCACGGTGGCTCCCTGGAGCAGGCTGTGCATTGCTCACAGCTGCACTGCTGCTGGCCTAAGCTGTGGCCTCCCGGAGAGAGGTGAGCCACCAGTGTCCTTGACTATAACATACTTGCCCAGAGTGGGAGCACTGCCACAGAGAGCCCCACCTGGTGCTCTCTGGACTAATCAGCATTACCCAGAAAAAAGAATTATATAGCTTATATACATATATGTGTTGTAACTTTTATACTTATTCATTTACATTATTGCTAGTATTAGTATTTTGGTTTGGAACTCAGAATCTCATGAGTGTTAGGAAGGTATTCTACCCCTGAGCTACATCCTCATGCCTAAAAAGAGGTTTATCATGTAGAACTGGCTTATGTAGGAGGCTGGGAAGTCAGCTGGGAACCACCTGCAAACTGGCGCAGGCAAAGGCCTATGTAGTGTATTCAGTGGCTGAGAACCAGACTTTTGAAGGCTGCTGCTCATGGGTGGGTAGAGGAAGCCAGCAGAATCCAGCCTGCTTCTACCGTTTTTTCTAGTCAGGCTCTTGACAAATAGGATGGCGCCCACCCTCACTTGGGAACTTTCTCCGCTTTACTCTCTACCCATTCAAATGCTAATCTCTCCCAGAAACACACACAGAGACACATCCAGGACTGATGATCAATACCTGTGGTCCGGTCAGATTGACACATAAAATTGACCTTCACACCCTCCTCATACTGTAAGCCTCTAGAAGAGGGCCACATTCCAGAGCAGTCTGTAGCTGTCTCCAGACTCCAGCAGGACACCTGTTATGTAAGCAAAATTTAGCAATTACTTACCCAGTGAAGGGACAGGCGGCTCTGCGGACCCAGAGCACTACCAGGAGTGAAGCCATGAGAATCACCAGAGGACGAAGGCTCAGTCTGATGTCCACTGACCTTCTGTACCCTCCTTCTGAGTACGCTCCCCAGCTGATGGCAGCCACATTCTTGCTTCCTGCCCAGCTGGTGAGGGGAGGCTCCAGTGTTCCAAGGCCTACATCCCAGCCCTCAAATCCTCATCCAGGAAGCTCTTCCTGACTGCTTCTTCTGACACCATGCCCTGTTCTCAGCTCTCAGCCTGGGCCCTGGGACTCCTCTGGCGGTCTTCAGTGTCAGGGGAGGGAGGGAGCCTCACCCAGGGCGCCGGTCAGCCAGGCCCGCAAGCTCGGCCGCAGTTCATCTGCCACCTGGTGGCTGATATGAGCTTTGTTCTTCTCAACCTGCCCCATTGCCTGTTCTCCAGCCTCTTTTCTGACCAATCCCTCCTGCTATCACTGGGAAAGTGGAGGCCCTCAGAAAGAGTTTGCCAGACACGGGTCCTGCCAGAAACACGCATGCATGCACAGAGCCCCGGTCCAAACAGTCTCATCTTGGAAAAGATTAGAGAAATGGTGGGACTTTGAAGCTTGTGAGCGAAATTGGAAGGAGCAAAAAGAAAACTTGCAGTCGTAGGTCAAACCACTAAAGAAGGGACAAACATTTCACAAAGCAAGTGCTTTTGTGACTACTGGTGCCATAAACTAACTGCTGATATTAACTAACCGCTAACTAATATTAACTAACACTAACCACTGACAAGTCAGACTCTTTGCTCACATTAGCCACTAATTGCTAACCACCAACTAGACACTACCATTAACATCTCTACACGCAAACATTGTTAATTAATGCTAATCATTAATTAATCCCTAAAGTTAACTAACACGAACCATTAACACTGCTATATGTAAACAATTCTACCATCAGTTAAAATGCAGAGCGAAAATGATGCTTTTAATGATAATAACCAGGCTATAATGTTGGCAATTTGTGCAAGAATCCACTAGAGCAGTTTTTCTGGGAGCTGATTGCCTGGGTATGTGTTGTACACCACACTGGCTCAAGCAGGAGAACTTATTCTGAAATTCTGATAGTGTATTCTAAAATTTGGGGTTTTTTTTTTTTTTGAAGTGTACATGAAGAGTAATATGCAAGGAAGTTTACTTAAAAATAAAGATTAACTTTCAGCAATAGAGGATTTGTTAAATACTTGCTGGCTAAGGAAACACTATTATACAGACTTTACACATTCTGCAGCAGAAAAATTTCTGCAAGGATTCTGCAGAGTCCATTTACCTTTTTTTAAAACATCAGCTTTACTGAGATATTTCACATGCTATAAAATTCACTCTGTCTCAATGTACAATTGTGTCTGTTTTTTGAATAGTCACAATGTGCAGCCAATACTACTATCTAATTTTAGAACATTTTATAACTTCAGAAAGAAATCCTGTACCCATTAGCAATTTGTCTATCCTGGATATTTTATATTAGTGAAATGGAATCATACATGATGTGGCCTTTTGTGATTGCTTCTTTCATTTAGAAACACAGCTTCCTGTTTGTACACGTTGCAGTAGGTGTTAGTGCTCCATTCCTTTGTATTATGGAATTATCATTCTATCACATGGATAGACCACATTTTCTTTATCTATTTTATTTGTCAAGTCCTCACCTTATGGGTATTTGGGTTGTTTCCACCACTTGGCTGTTAGGAATAATGATGCCATGAACATTTGTATACCCGTTTTTGTCTGGGTTTCCAACTCTGGTTTGCATCCCCAGAAGTACATTTGTTGGATGTATCAATGTTTGGGTTTTTGAGGACCTGCCAAACCTTTTAGCAATGCAGCTGACCATTTTAAATCTCTACCAACAATGAATGAAGGTTTCAATTTCTTCACATTCTCAGTAACACTTGCTATTTTTCCATTTGTTCCATTTTCACCAGAGGTGTGAGGCAGTGTTTCATTGTGGCTTTGATCTGTGTTTTCCTAAGGATGAATGATATTGAACACTTTTAGATGCTTTTTGGCCATTTGTATGTCACAAATTATTTTTAAAGCATAAAAACAAGATGCAAAATTACAAATATATTGTGTCTTCAAGGTGTTTCAAAAATGCAAGAAAACCCCTTTTAGGAAGCAAACAGAAATATTAATAATGAATGTTGCAGGGTAGTAGCATCACAGTTGGTTTTTACTTTATTTTTTAATTCCTCCAACATCTCCCAGAAGTCTGCTAGGAGCGTGAAGTACTTTTATGACCAAGACTAAAGGAAGGAATGCATGATGGGTTTTCATTTTGACTTTGGCATTTGTCTTACCCAGCAGAGAGTCAGGCAGCTGGGCATCACGAGTAACAGCGTGACCTTTGGTTTCACATAACTGTATCTCCCTTCACAGGAACTCTCATGAGCGTGAGAGAATAGATGTCTATCAGCCTCTATCACACACACCCCTATGCATCGGCACCCCTGGACCTAAGAAAGAAAATCTGGTCCAGGTAGGTTATATGCAGGTCTTTTGTACAGAAAAAGATCACAGGAACAAGAGAACTCAAATGCAGTCCAGGACGGAGAGAATGGCACTTGGTTATCAGCCCAAATGGGCAGAGACAGGGAGTGGGGTAGAGTCTCAGGGTAACAGGGAAAAGGAGGGGTATCAGGAAAGCTTGGTGTAAGGACAGAAGGCTTCCTGGCGGCAGGGTGAATGGAGCTGAGTTCCATAGAACACTGCTGTGAGTAGACCAAGCAAAGGACAGATTTTATTCTGACCTCCATAGTGTCCATGTGTGAGTTCTCTGCACTGTAGTCCCACTACCACATCAATCAGCAAACAAATCCCCAAAGATAGCATCTGGCTCTCTTTTTCCTCCCTCTTGTCAAAGAGGAGAGTGACAAAGAGTTGGATGGTGCCGCTGTCTCGCCTCAGGTGGGGGGCAGCAGCCAATAGGCTGGGACACAGGAGATACACAAAGGGAAGGATGTAAGCGAAATACCTAGAGCTGAGGAATCTCTACCCCAGAGGAAGAGAGTAAAAATAATCCCTAGAAAACATACCCAAAAGGCTAAGCAGGCACAAGAAAAGATGTTTATGCTTGTTTAGCATCAGAGAAATACAAATGAGAACAGCAATGCGTTGTCATTGTACATATGCTACTGGCTCGCAAACATTAACAAGCTGAAAAATACCAAGTGCTGAGGACTGTGGGCACTGGGGAACCGAGAGTTGCTGGTGGGAGTGCTGATTTGCAGCTGCAATCTGGCAATACTTGTACTTATGTAATGAGAGGTATGACTGATGCTTCCAGGTAAGCCCTGTAGGAAGACTTACTCCACCAGCCCCTAAGGGACACACAGATGGATATCCACCCAGAGGGAAGGGGACAGCTAACCATGGGTAATGGCACCAGGTGGCAGAACAGCTGACCAGATGTACACACTGCAACAAGGGGAGCGGGGTTTTCTCAAAAGCACAGTGTTAATGCTAAAGGGGGAAATGTTAGGAGCAAGATGAGATATATAACCAATAGCATTTATGCAAATGCAAAACAGAGGTATGAAACACTCCAGTTTTGCAACATGGAAACATAAGGATTTACAACAAACCCATTGCCGTGTCTCTCAGAGGAGGAGTATAGGAGGAGAGGTGGGGACCAAAGAAAATATACTTTAAACATAAATATATAGGAGGGCTCCCATAGACACTAGTGATGGTAATCCAGCATGAACCGAGGAATGATCCGTGCAACTCTATCATCTGGAAATCCAAATAAAAAATGCAGATTTGTTCCCTTCATAAGCACATTTACACACTCAAATGTGTCGTTCATATATAAGTTTATTGGCTTCCCCAGATTTTTGGCTCTGGCCCTGGGCCCAAGAACAGATATAGCAACCAAGGGAATCAAAGAATGGCATACAGAGTCTTAGAGAAAAGTCAGCTGCAAAGCCCGGGCGGCAGCACAACCTGAGGCATCTGGTCTCTCCTCCAGATGGTGGTGGGCACCAAGCGGCTGCCCAAGCCCATGTGTGGCCTCCAGTTGTGTGGTGTGGCAAGTCTAGCACCTGGATGTCAGCACCTTGGCCCCCCCATGAGAAGGCACGGTCCACTTAGTACAGGTCTGCCGGGCTGGTAGAAGTTCAGGGTCATGGCCATGCCACTTTCGTGAGATCTCAGTCCTCACCTCCAGAGACAGGGAAGAGGATGTTAGAGAACCTTACTCCCATTCATTACTTAATCCCCATGAGACCGAGAGGCAGGGAGGGGCTTGTGGGAAAACAGCAAGAAAGAAATGCCATAGCTGTCACAGGCAGTGCCTGCTAAGTACCACCTCTAAAGGATACTACTTCCTCCTTCCTCTGAGTACTTTTGGCTATTATCTTTGGTTCATTTTCCTAACTTTTATCACTCCTTTGAGCCCAGTTAATATCATTTATGGGTGCTTTTTTGATTTCTTGGCAAAACATCTACTCTGTCCCCCTGAATGACTCTGATTAGCCTGGGGTTAAATGCTGTGAGCAGAAGTAAAGCCACAGGGACTCTGTCCAGAGGACATGAATGGAAAAAAGGAAGACCCAGACTTCTGTCAGAGGGGCTGCAGACAAGAGAACAGAAAGCAAAACTGCCTGGGAAACAGGAAGGGGAGACTATGTCTTCATATCTCCATGGGGCTGTTAAGGACAGAGGAACCCAGAGCACTGCACCCATCTGACAAAGTGGAGTTGGGGCTGTAATAAAAGATATAAAAAAAACAGATTATGTTCACATAAAAATGATTGTCCTTCAGCTGCTCCAGAACAAAAAGCACTAGTGGGAGTAGTAAAGTTCCGTGTCTCCAGAGATGCGTAACCATCTGGTCCCCAACCCTGCTCCCTGACACAGACCACTGTTAACTGTCCTGTAGAAACTCCTTCCCTAGACCCATCAGCCTCATCCTAGACTGTTCTTGGCACTTCCTAGGCCCATGACCTGCTATACCCAGACACCGCAGTTCTTTGTCTGCATCTCTGAGCCAGAGAAGATACACAGGACCCTGAGAGGCTGGTCTGGGCATGCAGAGTCAGAAGGAAGGGGGCACTCGGGGTAAGAGATGGCAGGTGAGGCAGGGAGCAATGCTCCCAGCCAGGAGTCAGGACAAGTGCAAGCAGGTCTCCATAGAAGGCAAAGCCCTTGGCAGGTCTGTGGCCGCCAGGGGGAGCCCTGACCCTGCCTGTGCACACTACAAGGGCCTGGGAGCCTGAACTCAGCTGGATTCTCCCACCTCTCTGCCCAGAGCAAGATGCCACACTGGGCAAATCCACAGGGTCCTCTGGGTGGCCTTCCCTTCCCATTCATCTGCAACTTCCACAGTGCCCTCTACTCTGTCCATTCTACCTCCAATTCTGCTTGGTCTAGGCTTTTTCTTTCTTTCTTCCAGAATCTTTGTTTCCCATGCTCTGCTCTGGACCTTCCTCCCTGTCTCAGAATCTATTTCCTAGCTCCCTGTAGGTCTACCTCTGATTGTCTTGGTCCCTCCATCTCTGTTCCTCTCTCTCCCCCTACCCCAGCAGGCTTACTCTCTCCCCAACTCTCCCTTGACCCCTGGAAGACCTCCTCTCATCTCTTGACAAGCAGAGAGTAGGATTTGCCTCAGATCAGAGGAGGGGAGGGTAAAAGATGTCTACAGAAAGCAAGATGCAAGAGCTCTTCTCGATGCAAGAGCTCAGGAATGATACCTACAAAAGATCACAGGAGTAGAGGATGTTGGAGTCAGCCTGAGATGAGAGGGGGCCCTAGGACTGGGGGCAGGGGGGCTCTGGGAGTCAGGGGAACCAGAGAGTCACACACCTCTTGGTTGAGGAAGCAGTAGAGGATGGCAACGATGAAGCCCTGTGGGACCACAGAGGAAAAAACTATCAGGATAGCTTGGTCTCTACTCAAGGTGCACACAATATTTCCACTGCCTTTCCATCCACCCCCCAGTTTGTAGCTTGTGCCAGGTCTTTATGAAAAGAAAATTCAGGCACATTAATCATTATGTGGCAGATATGTTGTCTTATGTAATCATCATAGCAAGTCTGCTATGGCTGTAATGTTGACTTGGTCTCTTTCTTGGTTTCTGCATCTTCCATCTGTATTACTCAGTATATAATAGGTGCTTGGTAAAGGATGGATGGATGGATGGATGGATGGATGATGGACAGACAGATGAATATATGGATAATTAGATGGGTGGGTAGAGTAGTTGAATGAATAGAGAGATAGCAAGATGGATGGAAGATGGATGGACAGCTGAAGAGATGGATGAATAATGATAGTCCTCGCTCCATTGTGAGGTTAGCAAAGACTTCCCACCCAGGTACCTGTGGGAAACAGCACCTGCACGGACCTCACCTGGAAGGACCCAAGCCCCAGCTCCAGAGGGAGACGAATACCTAAGCCAGCATCATCAGGCAGAAAGTTAAAGACGATGTAGTGAATTCCAAATAGTGGGATAAGGAGAAGTGTTGCCTTAGAGAGCCGCCTAAAGGGAAGAAGTCCCCACCCCCACAGAGTACAAGCTAGGATTAGAAGTTCCCACACACACCATCAGTGTACCCTGTCCACCACCTCCACACATCTACCCTGGGCACCAGCCACCCCTGAGTGCTCCGTCCTCCCATATTTTCCTGGACTTCCTCGCTATGAGGCACTGGATTCTGTTTCAGTTTATTCCAGACTTTACGCACTTTTAAAAGTCTAGTTTAAAAACCATTTTCTCCTCCCTCTGCCCTTGATCTACAAAAGATCTCCCTCTCCAGACTCCTGTTGAGGTCGAGCCAGCTCTTGTCAGCCTGTGTGGCTTGGTCACTGATGGCTTGGCACCCCCACCTTTCCCACTCTGTCATCTTCTGGAGGGCAGGAATCATATCTAGTCTCTCTGGGGACATAGGGAAAAGGATGGTGTTGGGGTCAGGAATGGCTGCCTGGTAAGACAGAGCACGTAGAATCATTCCCTCCATGTCTCCTCCCCCACCCCTGAACGCACACACACACACACACACACACACACACACGCACACGCACACGCACGTGCACACACACAGTACCAGTACTGAGAGTGGGTATACAGGCTGCCTTGTGCTGGCTCCAGTTTCCTTAGTAGGATGCGGATGATATTGAGAAAGAGACCAAAGTTTACCTAGAAATGAGGGATAAAAAGATGGAGAGCAAGGACCAGGAGCTGCCCTAGGTGACCCAGTGGTGGAGTCCCAGCCACTTTTGGGGAAACTAGAAACTCCAAATCCTTGAGACACGGGGATGTGCAGGTGGATGGATGCACTGATAGTTGCTCTAGAACAGCAGTGGTGAATCTATGGCGCATGCACCGCAGTGAGCAGTTTACATCATTGAAAGCTCTAAAAGATTCACCGTCATTATTCTAGAATAGTGTAGCCTAAGGCTTGGAGGTCTCAATGTCGACCTTGGAGGGCAGAGGGGGACTCAGGGAACCCTGATTCTTCACCCTAGCAACAAAGAGTGAAAGGGTCAGGCCTCACCACCTGCCTCTGGAAACCTCCCAAAGTCTTCTCTAGAACCAATCAGTGTCTATCACTTTGAACAATTGCTATGATGACAAAAATTCCCACATTCACAAAGCCGTACAAGGCTATCCAAGTAGCCTCACATGCTGAGTGGGAACCAGGTGTTCCCATCACATCAAACTGAACCAGAAGGCTCCCGGAAATGCTGGGGGAGCCCATCAGGGTTAACCAACAGGGTTCTAAGACTGGTAGAGGGCTGCCTAGAGAATCAGCAGACCAGATGAGCCCAGATTTCCTGACTCCCAGCCTGGAGTTCCCTGCTGTGTGCGACCCTTCTACAGACCAATGGAGGCTGGCTGAATGAAGCGAAGAGCACAGGCCTGATAGACTCACCCCAACAGATAGGACGATGGGCCCTTTGATGATCCACCAGTAGGGGGAGCTGTCATATAGGTCCCAGCACCTGGGGAGAGGACGGGCCAAGACTCAGGTCAGCCCTTTTTTCTGCAGTAACCAAGCCCTTCTCTCCTACCCTCTCTCTCTGTTCCCCAAGTCCTCTCCTCTGTGAACTTCATGCTCCACATCTCATCCCATCTCTCTCTGGCTCCACATCTCATCCACGTAAGACTCTCTTCCAACAGGATACCGCAGTCCAGGCTAGGCTTAACCTCTCTATGGATGAAGCTCTATAAAATCTGTCTGAAGTCTGCTGGCCTCACGAATCCCACATTCCGGTGAAAGCTTCCCATCTCCTCCTCATGCAGGCAGCCTTGACAATCTGGCCCCTTCTGCCCCTGTACCTGCTCCTGCTAGCTATTTGCAGGCAGCCCTTCCTCCACCTCACTGAAGCTGGATCCTTCTACTCTCTTTCCAGCCTGGAGAACTGGTCATCTGAATTAGCCTCTTCCCACCAAGTATGGTGGTGAGAAGGCAGCTGCTGGGACTCACGCGATGTCCTCGTACGCCAGCTTGCAGCCCACCCAGGTTCCTGTGCAGAGCATAGGGAGTCCTTGGCAGAGAAAAAATTTCAGTGAAAAGTCTGTGTTTATGGCCTGAGATCAACCCTGTCTCACACTGTTACTGCCAGCTACACAGGAACTGCAAAGGCAGAACCAACAAAGGCTTAGAGACCATTCTCCAGAACAGTAGGATTTTAGCGCCCCTGCTCCACCCCCACCCCGCCTCAGGGTAATCACCAATGAAGTGAAGATCCTTGCTGTGACCTCCCTGGGTCTTCCAGGCCCTCAGAACTCACCCCAGCCTGCAAGAACCAGCCACCAGAAGGCTGTCCTGGAGTTGGGAGATGTGGAGGCCAGGAGGCAGCTCAGGTAGACAGCTTCTGCCAGCAGCCAGCTGAAGTTGGTCATGGTGGCAAGATGGGAGGCAGCCACAGAGACCTTGCATAGGACCTGGGGGCCAGAGACTTGGATGCTTCATCACTGCCCTCAGCCAGACCTTCACTATCCACTGAGACCCTGAACCTCTAGGGCCCCTTCATTTCCATCCTACTCCAGGGGCCCACCCCATAGCAGATGGGGTAGGATAATAGAGTGGCTAAGAACCCAGATTTGGGACATAGATAGCCTCAGGTCATGCAAACCTCCTCATGTTCAGCTTCCCACCTGTGAAAAGAAAAAGCCAGTGCCTATCTCATGGCCCCATCCCTGTGGCAACTGCATAAACACTGCTGCTGCTCGTCTTCCCTTTTACCCATCCTTCGGGAGCTATACTGATGGAGCACAGATCCTCGCAAAAGCTCAGAGCTGTAGAACACACTGTACATGCGCACATTTTCTCACCAGCAATTGTGAGCAGCAGTGTGGCCTTGAGACCCGAAAGCCCAGTGTCAGACCCAGCCCCTCACATTGCCTGCTGTCCCTTATTTACAAAACAGGGCTAAAGGCATGCTTCTGTCCTTCAAGGCTAAAAGATATCATATGTGTAAAGCACTTAGTGGGCTGCATGGCACATATATATACTCAATATACTCAATAATTAATGCTTCCATTAGTTAAGTCAGTTCATCGGTGGGTCAGTTCATTCACTGATGTGTCCTATTTCAAGCCAACTTTGGGCTCACAGACAACCTGTATGTGCTCAGCCTACTCTTCCCCTTCCTTGCTCTCCTCATGACTTCATGACTTACTATTTTGTGGCCACGCTCCAGGCCCTCTGTCTTTGAGAGTCTTCACTCTAGTCTCAAATCCTTCCTCCTAGCTTTCTCATCTCTGCTGCCAACCTAGCTCTGTAGCCACTTCCTCTTCAGATCTCCCCCAGCCCTCAGCTTCTTCCTCCAAGAAATGCCCAAATCTATGCACATAAGGGAGCCTAGGGCCCCCCAGAGGACAGCACAAGACACACCTATGCCTGTCATCTGGCCACTTCTCCTCCCACTGCACCACCCCCACCCCAATGGCCTTACAGTGGAGAAGACACAGTGCTCTGTGTCATCCTGGAAGAGTGTAGCATCCTTCAGGAACACCGCTCCCGCCTTGAGGATGAAGGTGGCGAACAGCTGGGTGTGGATGTAGTTCCGAGGGCAGTGGAGCCTCCTGGAGGGTGGGGAGAGGTGAGGAACAGCTGGCCAGCCAGGAGAGAGGCTTCTGCTGTCCCTCCAGAGAGGCCTTGTTTGGCTGAGTTGAGCTAAGCAGGAGGTAAGTGGAATGAAAATGAATCAAATCAAGCCAAATCAAATGGAATCAAGCCCAACTAAATTGATCTAAATTGAGCTGGACTTGACATTTTTGCCTTGCTTGTTGCTGAGCAGCCATTGCTCTAGGCTCTGGCAAAGATGAAGGAGCAGAAAAAACTATTTGTCCTTGCTTGCAGGAGCTTCCCATCTGGGGATCTGAGGCTGAAACAGAGTCCCCTGGATCATCAGAAGGACCCACCACCCACCCAGCAGAGGCCAGGACACGCCCAGTGTGGCCTCTGATTTTGAAGGCTATAGAACCATTAAAGCAGACAGTGGTTTGAGGATTCAAATAATCAAGAGGGGCTGGGCTTCTACTTTGGAGAGAGAAACATAAGAGGGCAAAAGGCCTTCCAAGAAAGGAGTATGAGCTGTAGGTAAGCACAGGCAAGGCTATAGGAGAGAACTTTGGGTGTGTGAAGAAAGAGGTGATTAGATGTTGGGAGAAAAGGTAGACATAGGCATGGTGCCTAGACCTGGGAACTGCTTAACTATCCCAGCAAAGTAACACTTGGTCCTCGGGGTGACGGGGAGCTGTTGATGAAGACGGCAAACCTGAGAGCAACCAAGATGGCAATGGCCACAAAGAGGGCTACGATAGAGATGCTGTGGCCCATGGTGTAGATGATCTTCATGGTGGAGAAGTAAGATATCTGGGAAAAGGAGACAGGAGACTATCTCAGCATTTGGGGAAAGGGTGGCTTGTCTGTCAAGCAGGAGCAGTTTGCAGTCCCCTCCACTTTCTCCCCAGGACAGAGGTGTCCATGGGCATCGCTGGAAGCACCCTGTGGGAGGGTGGCTTTTGCTCCTGTCCTGTCTCTGCCCACTCTGCTGGGATCTGATGGGTGGGAACGCTGAGCACTTGCTGCTGCTCATCCCTGGGGAGTGACAAAGCCCAAGAGGAAACGAGACATGCTTGTCAACATCCAGCTTGCTCGCCAGCTTGGGAACACAATGTCCCCTCATAAATGGGATGGCCAGGACACTGAGGACAGCTGCAGGCATACAGGGAAAAGCTCCTTCTGCACCCATGGGTTTGAAGGTGATCAGAGCCTTGTCTGGCCACCAGAGAGAAGGGTGCAGGTACTGGGCCCCTGTCCTCACTCTTCTGAGGGGTTCCTACCCTTCTCTGCTTCAGTCTTCTCAAAAAAAAAAAAAAAAATGAGCACATACACCGTTGGACCTTTTAGGAGGAAGGAGAGGAAGACATGGGGTTGTGAGGGTGCACACACCTGCCAAAGGCCCTACTGGAGCAGGCCCGGCTCCCGTGCAGCACGGGATGTGCTGGCTGGAGTCCAGGACCCAGTCACCCCCTTGCCTGCACCATGGCCATGGTCGCGGTCCCACAGACTGGGGACCAAGGAGGGGAATCATCTTGCCCAGTGCTGCCTAGAGCCTTGATTTCCTCTAGAACCTCTTGGCTCCCTGCTCTAGATTAGGCAAGGGAGGGGCTCAGCAAGGAGATGGGAGCCAGCACATCTCCAACCTGCCCTCTGCCTCTCCTCTACCTCCAAGCAGAGTGGCACATGTGTCACCCTTGAGCAATCATCAAGTGACCTCATTGCATCAGACACTTTAGCACCTTCTCTTGTATGACTGCCCCGCCCCCAAGGTTCAGGACCAGAACCCAGGAGCTTCACACTGAGCTACATCTACAGCCATTTTTCATTGTCTTTTAAATTTCAAGACAATAGATTGCCCAGTGTGAGTTTGAATTTATGATTCTCCTGCCTCAGCCTCACAGGGTGCTGAGATTACAGGTATGTGCCACTATACCTGGCTACTGCTGTAATTCCAACTTGATGGCTAGATTGGAAAAGGCAGCCCACCCCAACTCCCAGTTGTGCAGTCCAAAACCTATACAAATGTTCGTGGCAGCCCTTTCTCTAAAATACCCAAAGCCTTTTACCTCCTTAGTCAGCAGCTCCAAAGGCACTGGGCAGGCCACAGGGTAAGGTGGGAAGGGATCTGACCACCCTGTGATGGTGCAATCCCGCTTCACAGTCCCTGGGGAGAAGCAAATGCCTCTGGTCAGCACGGCCACTCCCTTCTCTCAGGAAGGGGAGCTTGGTAGAATTTGCACACTAAATGGTAAAGTGGTAGAAAAAGGACGAGCTCCCTCTGGGTGCCCTGTGTCAGGTCCAGCCAGCCCGGTCACACTCTGGGGCCTCCCCTCTCCAGCCTCCAACGTGCCCTCTGTTAACAGAGAGAATCATTTCCTGGAGGGCCGAGAAGTAGCAAGCTGACCTTCAGCAAAATAATGGCAGCAAGGAAAAAAGCAGACCCTCTCTGCCCCTGAAGGAACACTCCAACCAGAAACCAAGGTCAGAGAGGTAGGCAGCAGTAGATTCTCTTCTGCCCTGCCCATGCTGGTGCATCTGAGTAGCCAGCCAAGCCCTGCCCTCCTGCACCCTTGCAGTCGGGCTTCCTGTGACCAGCTGCAGCGTGGCTGGTTGGCTCTGGCCCCACATCCAGCATGTTTGTGCTCTGCTCTCTGATCTTCCCCATGTCAGGTTAGTGTCATACTCCTGTTCAGGAGAGGGCAGGGGTCAGGATCATGCCACCAGAGGGGAGGCTGGCACTCAAATCCAGGTCTGCCTGCCTCCCAAGTCAGCAGTGTGCCCTCTAAGTTGTGCCACCACCCCTAGGGAAACCATCTCACCTCCCTGTCACCAGCACAACCAGGACCTCTCACCTGGCTCTGAGCTGAAGTAGGAAAAGAAATCCGGGCAGGGGAGGGTGACCCAGTCTCCAGTGGCTGCCATTGGCCAGCACAGAAGGCCATCCCAGGTCCTAGGACAGCCTAGACAGAGAGATGGGAGATGCCGGGATACCCCTGCCAAGAGGATGGCTGGTCCAGCACTCCAAGAGGTGAGGCTGGAAGAGGGAGCCAAGCCAGGGATGCCAACACACCCTCCCAAGTCCCATACTCAGGGAGGTGTTAGACTGCTCCTCTGCCACCTGCAGACATGCTCTCTCATCTTCTTGCAGGTGGGCAATGAGGTCACATTCTGGGTGCACATATCCCTGCACCTGCAAGAGAGTGAACAGGATAAGCCAAGCCAGTTCAGTGCTCTCTCTCTGAGCTCCCTACCCACGTAGCCTGAAGACAGCTGGACCCTGATTTATTTCTGTGTCCTGATCCTAAGCCCAGGCCTGCCTCACAGGACTTACAAAGGAGCCTCATGATCCTTCTTATTTGAGGAAGAAAGATGGAAGGAAGGAAGGAAGGAAGGAAGGAAGGGACAGAGGGAGGGAGGAAGAAGAGGAAGGGAGGAGAGAAGGAAGGCAAGAAGGAAGATGAGAAAGAAGAAAGGAAAAATGAAAGAAAGGAAAAAAAGGAAGGACAGACAGAGGTTTGAACAGATGCTTTCCAGTTGGGGACCACAAATTCACAGTGACTGGTTTTGCAGATTTCCCTGTGGGATGAAAGGAAGGATTGGGGTTGCTGGTACCACCCATCTGAGGTTTCCCATTGACTCTTCCAAGCGTAAGATCATCTTGCCTTCTTCAGTCATCTGAGGATTACAGTCAAGGACAAGATACTTCTAAGCATGAGATCATCTATGCCTTCTTAAATCATCACAGGATTATATTCAGGTCCAGATACTTCAAACATAAGATTATTTCCGCCCTCTGGAGTAGGAGTCTTTGGATAAATTGTAATCCTTTGCTAGCCCCACCTATCACTGGATAGATTAAATAAATAGTGGCTGTTTGGGGAGTGGAAGAGATCAGATCCAGAGACACTGACTTTCCAGTCATTGTTGGACTATGATACTTTTCTGTTTTTTTTTTATTTTTCTCGGGACATTATTGATACTGACAATTGGGACTCTTGGCCAGGTTTTCAATATTGACTATCGTGACTCTTGGCTGGGTTCCCAATATGTTCTCTTTTCATCTCATGGAATTAAATTCTAAAACACATTAAATGAATTCCTCCAAGGATCTCACGACAATGCTCAGCTCAGTCCCTAGAATGGCCTCTCCTCCTAAACTGTTACTCTCCCGTTCTGCACTCATCTCCCTGGAGACAATTCTTTTGAGACTACCTCAGCAGGCAGGCTCAGAGACTCCATATGCTACTTCCTGCAACCCATGAATATGTGACATTACATATCGACAAAGTGAAAACGATGTCAGCAGAGGATCTTGTAGTGACCCAATGTAATCACAAAGGCCTTACACAAAGGAAGTGAGAGGTCAGATTCAGAGACTTAGATTTGATCCTGGAAGAGGGGAGAAAAAGAGAAAGAGAGGCTGAAACATAAAGACATTGCAAGCCAAGAAAAGGACAAGGCAGTAAATTCTCTCCTATAGACTTCATAAAGAACTTAGCTCTGCCAATCCTTGATGCTAGCCTACTGGAAACCATTCCAGACATTCAGGGATCTGCAGGCAAGGATACAGGAGTAGACAGGTAGTTTACTAATTGAGGGAATGCATGACTAGGATGTAGAGACAAAAACAGATGGATGAATGCATGCATGCATGGTGGATGGATGTGTGGGTGGGTGGGTGGATGGATGGATGGATGGATAGATGGATGGACAGTAGAGGAGTGAGGGTGCTCTCAGAAGGTGTGTTGATGCATAGAAGGATAGAATAATTATCTACATGAGTGGCTTGGTAGTTACGATAGATTACAGCTTTAGGGATTTCCCAGAGTCTGGTGCTGCCCAGAAACCACAGGGAATAATATCTAGAAACTGGAAAGCAAGTTGTCTCTCTGGCACTATTTCTGAAGGCATGCCTCATAAACCAACTGGAGACCAGAGGGAATGGCACCAGAGACACAAAGACCTTTTGTGGATTGCAGACTTGGTTATTTTAGCAAATTCTCTAGGGACCTGGGAGTCAAAGCCAGGACTTCTAACACTTCTACCTCCTACTCCCCACCAGACTACCGTAAAATGAAAACTAAACTGAGCCCTGAACAGGTGAGAATGACTTTCTTATACAATCTGCATGATTGTCACCCTGTGATTTTGCAAAGCTATGTCTTCTATTCTTCACTCCACTGTCTGGGAGTCCCATCCCTTCCTGGGACATGTTCTGAGGGGCTGTCTAGGGAAATGCTAAGGCCAAAGGAACCAGGGCCCCAGAGCAACCTCCACCTAAAAGATGGACATAGAGTCCCCACACATACTAAAATGAAAAAACTCGGGGAGGCTCAACCGGAGCCCTGGGATGTGTGGCCCCTGGGCCAGCTGTCAGGTGGATCATGTAAGGAAGGATGAAGAGGCAGAGCTTAAGAGATGACAAGTCACCCAATGCTCCTGCTGAGTCACCCCCATGCACACATCAATCTCTACCCCCTCCAGGAGGAAGACCCCATCATTTTTGCACAGCCTTGCCTTCTGTGACCACTGCACTTCTCAGGGGTCTGTAGAGCTGGAGCCCACAATAGGAGATGATGGAAGATGATTAGATTTAGTTCTGGTATTGACAACAGTACCCACTGCTGAGTGGCCCCACTAATGGAAGGTCCACTACTGAACATAAAGCTTTTGATAGGGTACACACAGAGGAGAGGAAGAGTGTGGACAATGGAAGATACCAGCATTGTACACTATACCTGGTCCTGACAAATCAGACTCAGTCACTGCACGTGCTGGTGAACAGATGGGATTGCCTCTTTTTGTTTAAGAGACAAGGGACACTCAGGAAAGGGAAGGAACTTGCCCATAGTCACACCGTCAGTTTCATGGTTCCAAGACTCCAATTTAAAACCAATGCACCCATGTCAGCCAGGTGCTGGGAGAGTTGCTTTCCCCTAGGAAGGGCAGTGGAGATAGAAAGAGGTCTCCATCCACATCCTCCTCATACCTTGTGACTCCCCTCCTAGTTCTTGTTGCCACCTGCATTGACCTGGGAAAGCTTCCAGGAGACTGCAGCACACAGGGGACCCTCTGTCTCGTACCCCTGTTTCAGTGTTCCAGGCCAGAAGTTTCTTTCACCCAAGGCATCACTGGTGGAAGACTGAGTCCTATAAATGCAGAGCAGGAACATCTAGCATCCTCTAACTACTCAGACTCACTCTGGTCCTGAACACATCTTCTTCAATGGAAACAACTAAACTGAGGGTGCTCGAAGAATCACGGGGTGAGTACAAAGGAGCTACAGTCTTTAGCAAGGAGTGTGTAGCAAAGGTCGGGATGTATGGCTTAGAGAAAAACACACAGTGGAGATTGAGGAGAGGGCCTGCCTTCATCTCCCCATTCCAAGGGAGAGTCTCAGGGCCCACAGGGTCTCTACCAGCCCCGAGAGGGCACAGCCAGGTTCTAGGGGAAGCAGCAGAGAAGTGAGCAGCAGCTCAGCTTCAGGAAGCACACCTTAACAGTCAGAGCAGACTTGCTGGGAAAGGGCCAGGGATTACCCTGAGCCAGCACGAGCACCTGGATACCTCCAGGTGCCCATGCTGGGGAAAGACTGAGGTCTTCAGCTGGGCACCCAAATGCCCTTTGGCTCTCAGACCTGGAGCCCAGTGAGAGGCAGGAGGATCCAAGCTGGCTACTCACGGCTCCTAATGGGCTCAACAAGCAGAGGACACAGGCACCCCACTTCCAGCTGTCCATGGTTGTGGCTAGGCGGGGATCCCTTGATCAGATTCAGTGAGGCTTGACTTGCTTCTCTCCACCCTGCCCACTGCTGCTGTGAGCACAGTGTCTGGTTTGCCTTCTCTCTCAGGATGACTATTTGCATAGGCAGGAGCAAGCAAAAGGGACACACCGCTAAATATTCACCAGGATCCCAGCACACTGCCCAACTCAGCCTGGCCCTGTGGTGGGACATTACATGCTCAGCACAGAGGGGCTGAGCCCCTATCCCTAAGCCCCTTCACTCGGCCTCAAAGTGTGGAGTGTATCCTGACAGCAAAGGCCTAGAGCTCAGAGAGGTAATAACCAGAGGATTTTGTGCTGCAACAGGTCAATATACTTTACCGTGTGGCCCCCTGAGCCCAGCTCTTGGGTGGCCTGCACTACAGCCCTGCCCCCACTGCCTCAGAATAACAGGACTTGAAAAAAACAGCACAAACACCCTGGCCCACCCTCAGGGAGCCCCCAGCTTGATTGGTGCTCCCAGCCTGATCCACAAAAATGCACATCAGAGAGTTGGAACGAGCTATAAGGAAGAGATGTATCAGTAAGCTCTGCCACAGGTGGATCAGTCCTGTGCTGTATTGGCAAGACCTGGCTTCTTTACCTGGCAAGGACACCAGCCTGAATGGCAAGGTGTCATCTGCACATGGCCAGACTCTCGAGTTCACGTGGGACAAATCAAAGTCCCGCTAAATTCCTTATGGCAGGAGAGGGGAAAGGTGGCTGTTTGGAAGAAACACAAAAGGATTTCTGGAGATAGGCCTTCTGGAGCAGAGGAAGCCACTCACATTATTTTGAATATTCATTGTCTGATCATTTGTATTATAACTTATGACTATAACATGCAAAAACTCCATGGCCAGGCTAACACAATTTTCTATGCTAGAGCCTGGAATTTAATTGTATGTTGGAGGATCGTGGATGCTCAAGGAGTGGATGGATTCTTCTGACTGTGCAGCTCTCCCTTTGCAGAGGGTGCTGGGCTGCACATTAGAGACGCCAGACGTGTTTACAGAGTGTCATGAATATGGAAGGCTTCTCGCCCCCGCCACATCTGGATTCAGGAATCATTTGACATCAACAGAGTTTTATTTTTCCACTTCTATTCATTGTCAACAAAATGTTGAAAAATATTTTGAAAAGAAAATATGAGCTACTCCAAAGCTTCAGCCCCCCTCCCTCGCCAACCTCGTATCTCAGGTTTTGTGAGCACAGCCACGCACAGAACAAGCAGTAGTCTACGGTGCTCAGCACTTTTCCCCCGGGGAAGCAGAGTGCCTCTCTCAGCAGGCTGAGGACTCATAGGCTAGGAGAATAGAATGCTGAGAAGCTGTGACTTAATTCTTTAACCTAGAACTTCTGCCTCTTGGCCTCAAAGAGGTACAGGAATAATATTGTGATTAATAATCATTGATAGTATCAATATCATTAGCATCAATGATGGTTAAAAATTGATATTGATAATTCATAATAGTGAATGTTACCTAAGCTTTGTTCCCCCAAAAGTCCCCTAAAACCCATCCTTCAGAATAATCCAAGGTTATGGAGCTTTCTTCTCTCTTTCTATATATATATGGAGTTCAAATTCTGCCTCCACCACTTGCTGGCTGTCATACATTGGGTAAGTTATTTGATCCTTCTGAAACTCCATTTCCCATTAGAAAAATGGAGATAATACTAGTACCTTCCTTATAAGGACAGTGGGATAAGTAGATGTTATGGTTTATGTCAGTGGCCCCAAGCTTCATGCAATTATGCATTTGTGATTGGTTCATTGGTTCATTATGCACTTGGATTGGGGGTGTGAGGGCCACACCCACTTAGGGTTGGAGGCAGGATATGATGTAAGTGCAAGAAACAGATGTGTCTCTCTCTTGCTGGTTTCTACCTTTCTGTTTGCAGCGCCATGAACTGTGCCCCACCATGCCACCCTTCCTTGGGGCCAACTGAGCAGGAACTGAGACTTCCAAGAACTGTAAGAAATAAACCTTTCCTTCCCCAACTTGGGGCATCAGATATTTTGTCTCAGTGATGAATAAAAAGTAACTAAGACAATAGACAAGTAAAGGCACTGTAAAGTGCACAGTTCCGATGGACAACCATTAATAGTAGCATCTAACAACAATGAAGTATCAGCAGCCAACGCTGGAACAACTGATTTTTTTGTATGAAAAGCATAAAGTTAGATCATTAGCTCACACAAATATAGATTCTAAAATTTTAAAATCCTACCTACAAAATAATAAGACCCTTTTAAAAATGGAAACATATTCCACAACCTTAAAGTAGAACAGGATTTTTATATGATAAAATGGAAACTATTAGGGAAATATGACCACACCACCATATTAAGAAGTATTCTCAAGAAAGAACATTATAGATGAAAACCAAAAGCAAGCTTCAAACTAAAAGAAGTGTTTGAAACCAATGGTATACCAAAATAGTATAAAATGTATTGTAAAAATCTATAAATCAATGGCAAGGAGAAAAGTAATCTAATAGAAAAGTAAGCAAAGAATATCTATGAATGGTCAATTCAGAAAAGAAGTAAGATATATGGACCAATAAACAAATGAGATCCTGAACATTACTAATACTCTTAAAAATTAAAATAATGAAGCTACCTTTTCCACTTACTATACTGCCTAAATTTTGTGTTTGATAACACAATATCATAAAGATAGTGTTAGGAAGTAGAAACTTGCATACAATGCTGGTGGGATTGCATATCACTGACTTACTTTGAAGAATAATTTGGTATTACCTATTGTGTCTATAAATAAACTATCCTGCAAATCTGAAGTTTTGTTTTCATAGCTGCCTCCTAATAGTTTTATTACTTATAACACATAATGTAAACCAGAAAATAATATAATAACTCAATGACAAGCAGAATAACTAAAGAAAATGTAATCTGTTTATACAGTGGAGTGATAGAGAGTAGGTTAAAGTTATGAACCATGAGGGCTTGGTGTAGCTCGGTGATACAGAGAGCGCTTACTTATCTTGTGCAAGATCTTGGGTTTTATCCCCAGCTCTGAAAAACAAGTATAGAAGTAGGAGCTCATTCTGTATGAACATGAAAATGCTTCAAATATATATGACCCTTTTTCCTGTTTTTTCAGCAATTATACACACACACACACACACACACACACACACACACACACTTTGAAGAACTTATGCCTCGAGCCAACATGGGTAATACTGATTGATTTATCTTTCTGCCTTAACAACAAGAAATCCAAACAAAATATACAAAATAATCAATTTTTAGACACTAGAACATAAACCATCTTAACCTTATGTACCAGTTTTCTGCCTGGGGAGTTTCCAGATTACAATTTGAAGAGGCAGAACCCAGCCCAACCTGGTAGACTTGATGGGTGAAGGAGACAGATAATGGAATTGAGAGGGCCTAACTAGGTGAACTTGTGAAGCAGAATAGCAGAGAGAGGGTGCTCCACAGAGACAGAGCTCCAGAGTCTTTGGCACAAGTCTCTCAGCATCTTGCCCCACAATCTTTGCCTGAGTACCTATCTGAGTGTGTGTGAAAAGAAGCAAATCACAGAAAGAACAAGAAGGATGGAAAATTCTAAAAACTCATGGGGCTGAGGTTTATTAAATTATTTCACCCGAGTGAAACTCACAAGACATGGATATAGAATAGCAGTATCTCAGTAGTCTGATGAAATTATCCCTACAGCAAAGATAAGGCAGCTTTGGATTCATTGTAACATACTTAAGGGTAAACCCTAAAAAGGATTAACAAAATAACTCCACTAGAAAAAAATCCAGCACCATTTAAATAATACAATATCCAGAAACTAAAGTGTGTAATTCATAATGTCCAATATTCAAAAAAATTATCAACCATGCAAAGAAATAAAAAATACCATAAACTATAACGAAAGAAATAAATCAATCTATAGAAACATTCCCAGATATACCAAATATGCTGGATCTAGCAGATAAGGATGTGAAAGCAGTTGTTACAAACTTACTACAGGCGTGTAAGGTAAAGAAAAAACACAATCACAATGAGTAGAGATGGAAACTATTTTTAAAAATCCAAATTCAGTCAGGTATGGTGGGGTATATGCCTATGCGCTCAGCTACTCAGGAGGTGAAAGCAGAACTAGCTCACATTCAAGTCCAACCTGGGCAACTTAGGGAGAGCTGTCTCAAAACAATATAATAATAGCAATAATAAAAAGAAGAAAAGTACAGGAATGCAGTTTTGTGTTTCCTGGGTTCAGTACCCAGAAGTGAAAAAAGTATATGTCTGAAATGAAAAACAAACAAATACACACACACACACATACACACCTACTGTTGTAATTCATAACAGAGTAAATGTTGTAGAACAGAAAGAGCAATGAAATTATCACAGCATAAGCTATCCAGAATTAAACATAAAGAGTAGAAAAAAGGTGGGAAAAATGAGTGGAGGGATTTTCTTTAAGAAAAGAATAAATAGTGTAAGATAATTGGGAGATAATATCAAATAGTCTAATGTGCATGTAATTAGAGTTATACACAGAATGAAGGGGCTCCAAAAAAAAATATTAAAAGAAAAAAGTCTGAAAATTTTCCCAATTAACGAAAAACATGTCTGGAGATCCAAGAAGTTCAATGAGTGGCAAGCAGAATGAATATACAAATGAAAAACTTCCAAGACACCAAGCAATTAAGTTACTGGAAAACCAATACCAGAGAGAAATCTCATGAACAATAAAAATCTCTTCTCAAAGAAAGCGGAAAGACACAAAACAGATAAAAATGACAATAGGGGGCTGGGGATTTAGCTCAGCAGCCTAAGCGCCTGCCTTGTAAGCAGGCAGTCGTGAGTTCGATCCCTGGTACCGATAAAAGTGAAAAAGACAAAAAAAAAAAAAAAAATGACAACAGATTTTCATCAAAAATATGCAAATCATAAGAAAGTGGAAAAATATCTTTAAAGTACTGAAAAATTTCAAACTGTAACTCTGTATTGGTGAAAATCTCTTTCAAAAACAGTTAAGACTTTCAAAGAGAAACTAAAAGTAAAAAAGAATGCTAGCAAAGCTGCATCACAGAAAATGTCAAGTCAAAGAAAAA